GGTCCTCTCGTTTGCGAGGCGAGTGCTCTAACCAATACGCGATAGGACCCCACATATTCTGTGGATAACTGTAGGTACCAAACACCCCCCACACCCACCTCCGCCCCCCCCCGATCTGGCCTCTCTGTTCTGGCATTGCTCAGCTCCAGGACGCAGTTACTCCTGGTGTCCGCTCAGGACTTGCCGACTGGCTGCCGTTCAATGTTTGTTGAAGCTGAAAGTGATTTATCTGAACGCTGGCTTCTCCGCTTCACACAGTGCAGACACTGAGTGAGCGAGTTTCACCAGCTGCAGCTGAACAGCTCTGTGTAACATTCCTCATATTGCCGCGGCCTGGGTCTGCGTTCACATCAACACTCCATAAAGATTCTAATTGAATCAAAACTTAATTAAAAAAAACTCCACTTGACCGGCTCCGGACTCCTGCATGTCCCTCGTGCCCTCCGTTCCACTATCGGTGGCCTCGCTTTCAGCAACTACGGAACAGCAAACTCTGGAAACAGCAAGCGAAGGGGCGAGGTGGAGGGACTATTGGAATGGAGTTCCAGAGGGTGGGACACCAACTCGTATCAGCATCTCAGCCGGAAGACGGCACCTCTGACAATGCAGTACTCCCTTCACCACTGGATGCCTGGAGAGTCGACCTGGACTGTGAGCTCAAAAAAGTCCCCGACATCCCTCGTCTCGGTTTGTCAAACAGCAAAATAAGTGAGACCTTCTCAGTTTAAGAGACATTTTTCCCTGAGGGATTCCTGCTTCTTTGAAGCTAAGGGTCACCCGGGCTTGTGTTTGTAGCCTGGGACCAAGTCAACACAGGACTGGGCTGATCAATGGCATCCAATTCCTGATATTGTCTCACAGGAACGTTGGAGTAAGCACGCAGGCAGCGGGGAACAATGTGTAGCTCACAGCTGGAGTATCGGAACTCCAGGAAGTAGGAGAGGAAAGACTCGCTGTCCGTTAGTGCAGCTGCTTTGGGTGACGCAGGGACAAACAATGGGCTCCCGATCCCCAACCAGTGTGTCCCGATTCCCTGACCAGCTCCGCAAGCTAAGCATTTTACGTGTTATATTTTCTAACAACGTTAAAATAGTCCTTGCAACTGACATGGCGCCTGATCGCGTCATTGAGACGTCTCAAAGCGCTTCCAGCGAGTGTGTTTTGAGGGTGTGAGCGACAGCCGATTTGCGCACAGCAACGTCCTGCAAAAGAGGTCTCAACGTTCCAATGTTTCACCTGTTGGGTTCTTGAGTCTCAGGGTATCATTACACTGATAATAATACTGCTACTAGTAGTAATAATCCTTGTATTTGACACAGCGCCTTATCCACAGAGCTTGAAGAGCGAGCGAGTGAGGGTTACAGATAAACATCCTTGGAAAATAAATCTTGCACGTTAGGTTATCGTTGGCTGGCCGCTGTTTATGAGGTGTCCGTCCAACTCGTCCGTCCAACTCCGGTGTTCTGCGAGGCCCTGCAATGTATGGCAATGCTGCTCTCTGCTGGCAGCTCTGCAGTTGATGATGATCTGGTCTCTGGGGTTTAGATCTGGTTAACATGTGGTTTCAGTTGGAGGTTTGGGAGTTGCTACTGGCGATCGTATTTCATCTGGATTTGCTGTAACGCCGCTTCACTGTCAGATCCGATCCCCAGAGTTGCTCTACTGGTCAGAGCAAATCCGCGGACTGTGTCCAGGTCTTATCAACTTGTGACCCAAAGGGAGCGAGGCTTAAACCCCAGTGTTAGAGGGAAGTATTGATAAATGACGAGATAAGCTAAGGCTCTTCAGCCATGAGTAAAGCCACCTCTAGGGGACCCTTATAGCGTTGAGTAAGAGACGTAATGGGCAGGTTTCCTTACTCCACACACTTCTGTTTACTCAGCAGTAAGCACGGTCGTAGAACAAGGTTTTCAGGTGGAACTTGAAAAAGGGGAGAGGGGACAAGGCAGAGGATTAAGGCAGAGCGTTCCAGAGTTTTGGGGCTTAGTGGCTGAAAGCACGACCTCTGATAGTGGGGCGGAGGGTGCGAGGGACAAGCAGGTGTCTGGTGCCAGTCGAGCGGAGGTGCCGGGTGGTGGACTGGGGAGTGAGGAGGTTGGAGAGGTAGCGAGGTGCCAGGGAGTGAAGGGATTTGAACACGAGTGAGAGAGGATTTGAAGTAGATCCATTTGGCGTTGGGGAGCCAGTGGAGCCTGGGCCAGAGCTGGGGAGATGTGGGTGCACAGGTTGGTCGGGGTCAGTATGTGGGCGGCAGAGACTGAATGAGCTGATCTTGGGGAGCTGGGGAGACCGGCGAGGAGGGGTTTGGAGTAACCAGACGGGAGGTGACAAACACAAGCACGAGGGTTTCGGCTGCATTTGGGGTCAAAGTACGGTCGGAGGAGGGGAAATGTATTATTATTATTAATTGGACGAAGGGTCTCTCATGCTCTTGTGAAGGGAATACAATAGGAGGAAATGGATGTTCAGTCGAGTTGCTGAATGACTGGTGACATCACATTGTGTTGTGGGTTTTGAAGGATTTGAAAGGAACGCATACAAAACAATCTCACTGTAAAGCCAAGACTGTTACATGTACAGAGAATCGACGGGCCAGGCTGGGCGGATTTGCAGGAAATAAAGCCAGGTATTCAGGGATAGAAAACCAAGAAGAATAAGCAATAATAAGAATGTCTTTGGATGAGCCATAAGAACGATGTCCCGCCCGCCTGTTCAGGTGGATGTTAAAGACCCGACTTGAAAAAGAGAAGGAAGTTTCTCTCTCTCCCGGTGTCCTGGCCAACAATCCCCTGGATAAAACCAGTCACCCACTCCCACGGCTGTTTGTGGGGCACTGCTGAGTGCAAACTGGCTGCCGCGTTCACCTGCAAAAACAGTCACTACACTTGACGGTTAAAATCCTGTGATGTGCTCTGAGACGTTTTGACAAAGGGTAACAAATGCAATGATTATTATAACAGGTTTCAAGAAATCACGATGGAGTTAAGGCTGTTCGCGATGGCGATAATAGTAATAATATAATAATTCTTGCATTTGATATAACGCCTCATCACGTCACCGAGACATCTCAAAGCGCTTCACAGAATTGGATTGACCGTATTTTGTGGGTGATGAGCTAAAGGGAGTTGAGGAGGTGGGGGTGGGAGAGATATGATCAAGTGTTGTATCGCAGTGGACTATCGATCATTCTCTCGCTGGAACGAGAGCTGAAATCATCTCCAAATCAACCTCAAATCCTTCATGTTTCAGGAGACTAAAATACCATTTTGTTGGAAGATCAAAGTCACGGAAACCAGTTTGTTGGCGGGGGTAGATTTCATTTTGACATCACGTTAAGCCTTTGACTATTTTTGTACTTTAATCCCTTCAGATAATGATTAATGTCTGTAAAGCGAGTATAGCTATTACATGCTGAGCGATATCTGGAATTTAGACTGCAAGAATCCCCTCCAAAAAAAATCCCATTGCGGACCTTCAACCTGTTTATAGCATCTTATCACATCGTTTCAAAGCGCTTCACAGAATATACCGTGAAGTGCAGCGACTGTATATTTTGTGTCCGAAACACGGCAGCCAATTACGCACAACAGTGTCGCACAAACAGTCGTGGGTTGAGTGACCGCATTTTTTTTTGAGGGTCTATTACCCCCAGAAATTGATCTGCCAATTGATTAACAACAGGGTTCCTACTTACTGCTGAGTAAACATAGGCGTGTGGAGTATGAAAACCTGCCAAAGGTTTCTCCCCGCCCGGGATCGAACCTCTCGCTTTGCCCTCTGGCTTGCCAGGCGAGCGCTCTCACCACTGAACTACAGAGGAATCTCATCTGCGGCTGATATCGATACCAGGTGGAACCCTGGCTGGAATTTCAAGGTTAATTTTCCTCTGGGCAAGATCTCTGGCCGTTGCTGTTTCCTTTATTTAACTTTTATCTCTCTTGATTAGATGCGGGGATAAATGTACTTTTGTCAAAGAAAGGGATTAGTGGGTGGAATGAGGATAAATGGTGTCATGCGAGAATGGCTGAGAGCTGGAGAAGCAGTGTAGCTAACGGTTGGGTTGCAAGCTTCGATTCATCTTAATAACCTCTTAAGTGTCATCATTCAATCGGTTGCTCAGATCACTGTCCTATTAATAATAATCCTTGCATTTGATACCGCTCCTTTTCGCGTCTTCTCGACGTCTCAAAGCGCTTCACAGAATTTACTGTAGAAGTGAATTGTATAAAATTGTATATTTTGTGGGTGAAACACGGCAGCCAATTGTGCACAGCAGCGTCCCTCAAGCAGTCGTGGATTGAGTAATCAAATTATTATTATTTCATGAAGGGATTATTATTACCCCCGCTACAGAATTGATACGAGTCTCCGATTCAAAAGGTTTCGGGTAATAATGCCTCGCCCCCCCACCCCAACCACCACCCCCGGAAAAAAAATTTGGTCATTCAATCCTCGACTGTTAAGTGATACAAACTAAATCCCCCTAAATTAATTGAAGTTGGGGTTCATATCATTTGAATCTGAGCAACAAGGGGTAAAATTGCCAGTACTGTGCTAACATTGTGGCTTCTTGGAAATCAGATCAACCCACACAGGAAACTGCAACAGGATTATTAAAATACTCCTGCAGCTTTTGTTATGAAGAATAACATCTCTGTTGTCTCGAACAATAAGGATTTGCTCAGCTAAATCAAAATAATCTCCTTTTCTAATCCGAACACCAATCAAAGGGGGAACATACCTTTCCTGCGCTGCAATCACAGGATTTTTGGGCAGTCAGTATCCAAACGCTCTGGACTCGGGAAGCAGACTCTACCGACAGAAGGAGGCCATTTGGCCCAGTATGTCTGCGCTGGTGCTCGCTCTCCCACTGGAGCTCTCTCCTCTAATCCCATTCCCCACTCTCTCCCACTGTCAAGTGCTCCGAGAGCTAGATAAATGCAAGTTGTTATTGTTGTTGTTCGACTGTACTAAAAAGCTGTTGCTCTTGTCTGTCCCAGGTCTGGGATTATCCGCTTCGTTGGTGAAGATGTCTCCCACCCAGTGGGTTGCAATTGGCAATCCCGTTGTACTGACCGCTAGTTTCCATCTGAATCAACAGCAGATCCCACCCTTCTCTGTGAACTGGCAGTTCCAGTCAAGCGGAACACCAGGCATTGTGAGTTAACCAGAGATGCCAGGCTACAGCGATGACACCAACGGCACATTACATTGACACAGCGCTTCTCACGTCGGGAGGACATCCCAAGGCGCCGTTCCGTCAAGGAATTGGACCTGAGCTGAGGGTTGAGATCAGTGGGGGTGGAGAGCAAAAAGGATAAAAGTAGGAGGGTGACCGAAGGCGTGGTCGAAGAGGAGACTCTTGAGACCCCAGTCTCCAGGCTGAGGCTACTGTGCAATTCTAAATAAACAAGCGTGTGTGTGTGGAGTAAGGAAACTTGTCTAAGGTTTCGCCCTGTCCTGCCCGGGAATCAAACCCTGGTCCCCTCGCTTGCGAGGCGAGCGCCCTGACCACTACAGCCTGATCCACAAACTCCAGACTCCATTCCCAGCTAACAGTCTTGTTCCCCTCTGGTTCCGAGACTTCCTCATGGAAATAATAACTGTCTTTCCTTCATCTAGGTGTTGATATATTCAGCGGATAAGGTGATATTGGGCTCTGAGTATCAAGATCGTGTTGGCTTTGTGCATAAAATGCGAAGCACTAATGTTTCCATCTATCTGAACAACACAAAGCTTAAGGACTCAGGTCAATATACTTGCACAGTATCTGTTCCTGATCTCAGTTTAGTGGACTTGTCTGTGACCAACTTGTCTGTGCTGGGTAAGTATTGCCATTCACACTTATACAGTGGAACCTCATTAATAATAATAATAATAATCCTTGCATTTGATATAGCGCTTTTCACATCTTCCCGACGTCCCAAAGCGCTTCACAGAACACACTGTAAAGTGAATTGACTGTATATTTGTGGGCGAACGCGGCAGCCAATTGCGCACAGCGATGTCCCACAAACAGTCGTAGATTGAAAATGACCAATTTATTATTGTTTTGTTTTTTTGGAGACCTGATTAATTTTTTTGTGACCTGATTAATGAGCCCTGTAGCTCTAACCACTGAGCTACAGGACTCATTAATCAGGTCACAACTTTTTGGGGGGAGTGGGAGGAGGATTATTACCCCCCCGCCCGGAAAGCGATCCGCCAATCGATTAACAACCGGGTTCCTACCTACTGCTCGGTAATCAGAGGCGCGTGTGTGGAGTAAGGAAACTTGCCTAAGGTTTCGCCCAGGAGTCGAACGCGGGTCTTGCTTGCGAGGCGGGAGCGCTGTAACCAAAATGCTACAGGACTCCAAGTGAGGATTAACAGGATTATTAAATTTGTGACCTCTTTCTCTCCGCAGTTCCTCCCTCGATCCCGAAGTGCAGCACCAATGGAAATCATCACGTAGGCAGCAATGTGACACTGACCTGCGGGTCCGCAAAGGGTGACCCCAAGCCCATATACACCTGGAAACGTATCTCCCCCAAACCACAGACGTTCTTCCCTTCTCACAGTGAGTAGGCGGAAACTCAAACCCTCCATTAACAGTGCGTTCCTTTATATCCCAGTCCTCTGTGTTCCTGTGTGTTGTGATTGTGTGTTGTCTTGTCTGGGTTAATAGGAACAGATCAGCCATGTCCTTATAGCTTGCGGAACATGCTCGAGGGGCTGAATGGCCTACTCCTGTTCCTACAATAACACCATTGACGCCAAGTGTCACCTGCTGTCTTTGTACCCTGTTGCTTGAGATTCTTGTCTGTATCTCGTTGCCATTCGCCTGTCATTCATTCGCTCTTACTTCAGCTTTCACCTCACTCTTTGTCTCTGCAGCTTCATTCTTCTCTGTCTCCACAGTCTGGCAGCCATGTCCGCAGTCTAGACTCTTACTGGGGCTAATAGGTAAGGGAAAGACAAGCTCTCGGCCTCTCCGAGAGGGAACAGAGAATGTGTTTTCCCCCTTTCATTGCCAGCCTCCCTCACCTTCTGTCTGTGTCGCTATCTTGGCTTTAACAGTGGGAACGGGAACTGTTAACCCTTTCACAGCTCGTCCCTAGATGCCACGTCTTTGGTTTGTGTTTCTACGTTGGCCTATTTGATCAGCTGGGTGTCTGAAACCCATTCCCATGTCATGCTCCACATCCAGGGGTGGAAAGGAATTAGTTCCTAAAATTAATGAAAGGACGTCCAATTTCATAAACTCCTGCAGAACGATAACATTTTGCTGTTTTGAATGTGATTGGGACAATAACACAGGAAAGACCTGATATGAATTTGAGTTTGGCTCAAACCTTGTCCTGTGTTTGGCTAGTGAAAGGGTTAAATACGTAACATCAGTGCAGAATAAAGGTCTGATCATTAGATCATTTTTCGGTGGAGCATTTTTGCGTGTTTGAAGGGCAGCGGTTGTTATAGATGATTGTGTTATGCAATTAGAATAACAATAAATAATAATTCTCGTGTTAAATACAGAGCCTTATCACGTCTCTAGACGTCTCAAAGCCCTTCACGAAATACACTGTCCAGTGCATTGACTGTGTATTTTGTGGGCAAAACGCGGCAGCCAAATGCACAAACAGTCGTGGAGTGAGTGACCAAATTATTCTTAGTAGTAGTTATTTCGTTTGTTAATTAGTTAAAGCGATTATTCCCCCCGGAAAGCGATCCGCCACTTCAAGAGAGTCACAATTTGACGTCTTTTGGAACTGAAGATTGGTGATTCTCTTTTTTGGAAAGATTGGAAATCGGAATCCACCTCCTCGCTCTCCCTCAATCCCGGCTGGGAATTGGATTCCAGGGATTATTGATGGGGATGAATGTTCCAGTGAGTTCATATTGAACTGCCCTCTCCCTCTCTCTCTCTCTCTCTCTCTCTCTCGCTGTGTTTTGCAGATCGTGACAAGGGAACATTTACTTTGACCAATGTCACTAAAGAGATGAGTGGGCTGTACTCCTGTAAGGCAGGAAACAAAGCGGGGAATGCAACATGCTTCATCCAAATGGACGTGACTTATCGTAAGCTGTTTGGGTGAACTGGGGGGTGGGTGGGTGGGGGTGGGGGGGGGACGTGCGTGTTTGTTTGTGAGTAGGGAGTTGGGGGAGAAAAGGTTACGTTTATAATTATTAATAATAATAATAATCCTGACACGTGATACGATATGGCGCCTTTCAGGTCGGGAGGATGTCTCGAAGTGTTTCACAGGATTTACTGTAAAGTGCAGTGACTTTGTGGACGAAACTCGGGCAGCCAATTGCGCACAGCAGCGTCCCCGCAAACAGTCGTGCATTGAGTGACCACTTCTTTTTTATTTTCTGGAGGTATTATCCGCCAATCGACCTGAACAACCTAAAAGCATAGTCGAGAAACTTGCCTGAGGTCTCGGCCCGGGTCCTCTCGCTAGCGAGGCGAGCTCGCCAACCATTAAACCACAGGATTTAAGATGGAAAGTGTTTGCAGACAGTGAGAATAATGCTTGCTTTTTCTCCTTTGAACCAGCCGTTAAGTTAGGGATGATTGTGGGGGCAGTGGTCGGGTTAATCATGGCCGTCTGTCTGGTTTTCCTCACCGTCACTTGTTACCACATGTATCAGAAGAGGAAGAAGGCTGAGAAAGAGGAAGATAGAGCCAACGAAATCAAGTGAGTCATAATGATAAACATTAATATCCTTGCATTTGATATAGCGCCTTATCATGTCATTGAGATGTCTCAAAGCGCTTCACAGAATATATTGTAAAGTGAACTGACCGTTTATTTTGGGGGGGAGTGGGGGTGGGGGTGGGGGTGGGGGGGGGGACAAAACAAATTAATAATAATTGATAATAACGAATAATGAATAATCCTTGTACTTGGCAGAGCCCCTTTTGTGTGGGGTGAAGGGGAGTGACCTCGTATGTGTAGGCGAGCCTGGCAGCACAATTTGTGCAGAGAGTAATCAACGACTGGAACAGGGTTGCCAGGAGGGTGGGGGTTAAGGTCAGGACACTGGGACTCGCTTAAAAAAAGTGGTTTGGTTGCTGTGATGGTGAGACGGTAAGGGTGAGATCAGATGGGCCAAAGGGGCCTTCTTCATTCAAACCAACGCTCTTGTCATCTGTGTTGGCGTTGTCCTCTGAGCCTAACCCACCCCCCCGTTGGTTACAGGGAGGACGCACAGCCTCCAACAGGCAACACCTGGGCCAAGAACAACAACTCCAGCATGATCTCCAAAAACGGCACCCTCTCCTCAGTCACCAGCACTCTGCGCAGTCACAAGCCGTTCCCCACCATGCCTGCCTCGGACACCGCCTCGTCCAGCACCGTCGTGGGGGGAAAACAGCTCCCCAACACCGGCCGGCAGTACAGCCCGTCGTCCAGGAGCCCTTCCACTAAATCCGCCCCGCGCTACGCTTCCACCAAGAGCGCCTACGGCCCCACCGGCCCACCAGGCCCCCAGTGGCAGAATGGAGCCCAACCCCAGACTGGACCCAGGCAAGCGCCAACGCTGCCCTCAATGACTCTGTCCAACCTCAGCAGAATGGGGGCTGTGCCAGTCATGGTGCCCGCCCAGAACCAAGCCGGTTCCTTGGTGTAGCGCCCACCAATCGACCCGCAGTCCAGGGAGTTGGACTTATACTGGATTCTGTAGCTGGTTGACCAAAGGCAAGGTTGTTTTTTTTTTCAGGGTCCGAGCACACCTATGAATGTTTTTCTTTGCATTTTTCCTTTGACGCAACAACTTTTTTCACGTCGTCGAGACGTCTCAAAGCGCTTCACAGACTGTATTGTAAAGTGGATTAACTGTGTATTTTGTGGGTGAAACACGGCATCCAATCGGGCACAGCAGCGTCCCCACAAATAGCCGTAGATTGAGTGACCAATTTATTTGGGGGGCGGGTGGGGATTATTACCCCTGGAAAGCGATCAGCCAATCGACTAACAACCGTCCCTACTTACTGCTAGGCAAACAGGAGTGTGGAGTAAGGAAACTTGCCTAAGGTTTTGCTCTGCCCTGGGAGTCGAACCCGGGTCCTCTCGCTTGTGAGGCGGGTGTGTGGGTGCGATTGAAACTAAGAAACTTGAAGGAGAAAAGTGGACCATTAAGGACCCAAATGGTTGCAATCCATAACGAAGTGCCATGGCTTTGCTCTTGCTCCTCCACTTCTCAGATGTCTCACTCCTCGACGCTTTTAACCAATATGACTTGAACCCTTGCGTCAAAGCAAAGAGGATTTTTTTTTAAGAGGATCTTAATGAATTTTGTCGTTAAGTTATAAGAAGGAGATTCTTTTTTTGGACAAAATCGCATATGTTTGTTGTGGAAATTTATATTTTTTTCCATACCCTGCCGTTTTCTCTCTCTCTATCTCACTTTAACGTTCTCTCTCCCTTTCTCTCTCCCGCTATCTCTCATTCTCTCACATTCTCTCTTTCTCTGCGAGTGTGCGTCTCTCTTGCTCTGTCTCTCTCTCTCTCTCTCTCTCTCTTTCTCCCTCTCTCTCTTGACTGTGCCTACGGTCACCTCCCTCTCTCCCTATCCTGCTTTTGCGTATCTCCTGCCTAAAGCACTCTGAGACTGCATTCTATACTACACGTCAAAGCAATTTGCTTCTTGTGTCTGTACGTCACTCTCTCCCTCTCTCATTAAATCTCCAGTGGAGACAACAGGCTTTAACTTCAGTAAGAGCCTGCCTCTGGGTCACTGCGACACTTGGACACACACAACTGCTGAGATGGGAGGTTGATCTGATCTGCCAAGGACTGGGTGTGTGTCCCTGGGATCTGCATCATTCTCACTCCCTGCGAACTTCCCGGTGGGCAACAAGCACATCTCAGCACGAAATGTGCGAGAGCATTGCCACCATCTTCCTGTCCACAGCTCAGGCACACAGCCCTTCCCATCACTCACGACCAATTAATCTTTGATCAGACTCGATCGCTGCACTCAAGTTGCAGCTCACGACATCGAGTTTTGTTGTCCTTCGTGCATATACAAGTAAAGTTTGTTAAAAGTCATTTAATCGTAACTTTTTTCTCTGGTTGAAAACTATTTTGTATATAATAGTCTATTAATCCTCGTAGGGTAAAGGGAACGCTTTCCAAAAAGAATATTTCCTGCGGTAACTCGGGCTACTCTGTTATTTTGATATTACACTGTATTTGTGAATGGTTTTTAATAAAATTTATCAGGTTTCTAACCTCCCCTGACTGGTTCGTTTATTGCGTTGGCTTTGTTTGACTGCTTTGATCTGTCAAAAAAAAACCTCAAATGTTGAGCTACCGTAGGGAGGGGGAAAGTCCTGGCCTCAGTTTCTCTTCCTCTGAGACGCTACCCTGCATGGAGGGCGCTGTATAGGTGCAAGTTGTTCTTGTTTCTGGTGACCCTTGTTTCCAGTCGCTGGTGTTTGTCTTGAAATTATCCTTTGAGACACTCCGCCCGTGTCCTCTGGGATGTCAGAGTGCGAACGACCACCTCCTCTCTCCCCCCAGCTTGGTGTCGCTTTCAAGTGCTCCGAGACACTGAAGGGCACTTTGTGTCAATGCAAATTGTTGTTGGTGGTGGTCCTGCTGGCCTGCCGCACCCTAAAATAGTGTTCTGGGTCTGTCTAAAATCTTGTAGAGCTCTATAAAGGGCTCTCCTTCCACCCACGATACACCCACTAGCTTTGAACCTGCCCCGTTCAGGTGTGCGTCTCACCTTCAGGCGAGAGAAGGGTCGAGACTGTGTGTTGACTGCGAAGGGACCGAGTGGGAAAAACCTACTGTCTGCAGTGACACTGCGAGGCCACGAGAGGGCGCTCATGTTCTGCGATAAGTCCATTGGGAAGAGGACACAGTGTTGGAGATCACATCACTGAATAGGTTTGGACCCTTTGGTCTCAACTTGGCTCAACTGTCCTCCCACCACATCGTCAAGCTGTTCCTTAAATGGGTTCAGACTCCTGGCCTCAACCGGCTATTGATTACCCTCCGCGTAAAGAAATCGCTTTTTGATGTCTCACCTGAAGGTGGACACCGCTGTTAATGGAAACTTCCCCCCCACCACCACCACCCCCAACGCTGCGCTGGAACATCAGCCTGTAGACTGTGAGCTCAAAAGTCCTCCCTTGACTTGAATCCACAACCTTCTAACTCGGAGGCCAGAGCACCACCGACTGAACCAACGTGACGCCTTTGATCGGTCGGTCGGTTAGATAGAGAGCTGAAGAGGAAGAAACAACAAGAAGTTTTGTGTCTTACGCAGCGCCTTTCTCGTCAGAGGGACGTCTCGAGGCGTTGGGCTGTTAAGGGTTTGCACCCGAGCTGGGGTGGGGGGGTGTTGGAATCGAGAGGGGCGGAGGGCAGGCTGGGTGAAGGCGGGAGTGTGGCCGAAGGCGCCGTCAAAGAGGATAGACTTGAAACGGGCCTTGAAGGAGGTAAAGGGGGATTCAGGGACAGAGCGAGAGAGAGAGAGAGATAGAGAGATGGAGAGATAGATTAATTAATGATATTAAAGGTGGGAAAGGGATTAGAGCCATATAATGGCAGAGTGCTCCTAATGCTGACTATATATAGCAGCCGGCCAGCCCCGGGCACACAGCCTCTGGGCTTGCTGCCTGCGGATTAACGCGGTTTGGGCGAGTTAGAAATGATTGTTTCAGCTAAGTGCAGCGGTTAAGTAGGTTACTCGCTTGAACAGGAGATGCAACGAGCGAGCGAGAGACCCATTAAGCAAAACGGGCGCGCTCAAAGCCAGCCAGAGCGCCGCGATTAAAGCGAAGAGCCAACAGTTGGAGTGTGGAAAAGCAGTCCCGATCGAGTCTGCTCCCCGTCGCTTAATGGGACTGAGATCGCGGCTCCGAGAACCAAAGGGACGGAGGAATGGAGCGTACGGCCTTCAGTCGTCAAATCCAAATACTGTTAGCAGTTCAGGAATTCAGGATTTATTCCGTTCTGACTGGCTTGTGCTGTTAATGGATAACTTGAACGCTTAACCCCAACCCCCCCACCCCAACCCCCCACCCCCTCGCCCCGTCTCCCCTCCTCCGAGTTGCCTGGCTGCATGCAGTAGAAGTTCTCTTGTCGCTGCCCCGTTATGTTTGATTAACGTGTGTGTCGGATCAGTGGGAGGCAGTGAGTGAAATGTTTGCACGTTGGGGGGGGGGGGGGTGGTGGGTGGGGGCTGTGAGCGTTAGCAGCTTTTTTCACCACGTCACACACGGCGATTCCCTGCTGCCCGCTGCTCGGGGATTGAGAGAGGAGCAGTGAAGTCACGGCTGGGCTCGGAGACGGTGCGTGTGTGTGTGTTGTGCGTGTGTAACACTGCCTCCTTGACTTGTCCCCACCGCCGCCATGGCTGTCGCTCGGCAGACCTGGACCCTTGGGCTGCTCCTTGTCACGTCGCGTTTCGGTAAGTGTAACCTTCTCTCCACCGCGGGGAAACTTCTGGCAGCACGTCTCAAAGGATTTGGCCGTGGCCGGACTGTGTGTTTTGTGGTCCAAACGCGGCAGCAACGTTTACACAGCAAAGTCCCCCCACCAACCCAACCGTACAAGTGAATGACCGGCTCTCTCTTTTTTTAATCTGAGGGGGTTGTTGGCCGGGAGGTCAGGACAGAGAGAGAGGGAGAGGGAGAGAGAAACTCCCTTCTCTTTTCAAGTGGTGTCACGGGATCTTTCACATCCAAACAGCAGAGTGATCCACAATGTGTCACTGCATCTCTTGGTAAATGACAACAAACAACAACACATTAGGTTCGCACTGCGCCTCTCGCCTCGAGAGCACGTCCCAAGGCGCTGGACATTCAGAGATTTGGACCCGAGCTGGGGGGGGGGGGCTTGGATCAGGAGGGGTGGAGGGCGGGGAGGGTGGAGGTAGGCAGGTGACCGAAGGCAACAGTCAAAGAGGAGGGTCTTGAGATGGGCCTCGGAGGAGGTAAGGGAGGGGGTGAGGCGGAGGAGTTCCAGAAGGTGGGAGGCAGAAAGGCTGAAGGCCCGACCTTCATTGTAAGCGCTTTGAGATGTCTCCGTGAAGGTGGTGAATATCTGGAACTGTCTCTCTCTCTCTCTCTCTCTCTCTCCCAAAAGGCTGGGCTTACGGCTGCATCCATTCACATCTTCGAAACAGAGGTGGAGAGATATTTGTTAAATCAGGGCATCAAGGGATAAGGGGTAAGGGCGGGTAATTGGAGTTGAGGTACAGATCAGCTGTGATCTAGTAGAATGGTGGAACAGGCACGAGGGGCTGAATGGCCTCCTCCTGTTCCTATATTCCTATGATAAGGCACTATATCAAATGTAAGGATTATAATGATGATTACGATGATAATTTCTGTTCACAGCTGTGGTGGAGCTGATCTCGGTGTTGACCTCCCGCCCAGAGATCACTGTGAATGTTGGCACAGACGCGCTCCTGGATTGCAAGTACACGACTGCGATCGGAACCAGTTTCACTCTGGATTGGCGGTTTGTCCCAGGCTCAGCACCCAACGCGCAAGCGATGAAGGTAGGCGAGTGGGGTGAGGGGAGGTGGGGGGGTGGGGGGGTGGGGGGGAGGCGCACAGGAACTGGAGGAGGCCATTCAGCCCACCCAGCCTGTGCCACTGCTTTAGTTAGTGGATCTCAGCAGACAGTTATAATCATCTCCGCATTTGATATGGCGTCATCGGACATCTCAAAGTTGGAGGCTTTGCATTTGGTATAAAATGCCAAAAAAGATATAAAATCCACAAAATAGTCACTTCACTTTACAGCATATTCTGTGAAGCGCTTTGAGACGTCTCAACAACGTGACGAGGCACGATATCAAATGCAAGGTTTATTATTATTATTATTATCATTATAAATCCTCTTACAGGCTTTTACTTTAAACTGTAGTGACTGTGTATTTTGTAGACGTCCCCACAAACAGTCATGAAGTGAGCGACCAGCTTCATCTGGGGGATGGTTGGCCAGGACTCAGGGAGAGAGAGAGAGACTCCCTTCTCTTTCTCTTCGTGTTGTGTGTGTTTAGATTCTGTACTATACGAACGGGGAAACCTACAAACTGGGGCCTAAGAGCAAACGGCTAAAACTAGTGAACGAACCTCCAACCCGAGGCATTGCCTCCATTCGTCTGGAGAAGACAGAGTCCTCGGACTCCGGCAAATACATCTGCGACATAAACAACCCGCCGGACTTTGCCGGAACGTCCGAAATATTTGTCAATTTGATCGTTCAAGGTAAGGAAGCTTTCAGCCACCACCACAACAACTTGCATTTAGGTAGCGCCCCCTCACACAGGGGAGCGCCTCAGAGCGCTTGACCGTGGCGGAGCCTGACAGGGAGGTGACCGAGGGCACGGTTCAAGAGGAAGGTCTTCAGGCGGGACCTGAAGATGGGGGAGGAAGGGGGCAATGCGGAGGTGATGGAGGGAGGGAGTTCCAGAATTTCGGGGCGTAGTGGCCGAAAGAACGGCCGCCGAGGGTGGAACGGAGGGCACGGGGGGGGGGACAAGCAGGAGGCCGGAGACAGTCGAGCGGAACGGGGATTCATTGACTATTTTGTTTCATTCTGTGCTGTGCAGTCCCACCATCCACTCCACAGTGCACAGTGTCAGGCAAACCCCACGTGGGGAACAACATCACATTGTCCTGCCGGTCAACGGAAGGCCGTCCATCTCCAGTCTACGTGTGGTCAGAAGTCAATCCCAGCCCTGGGACATCCGCAGCTACTAACGTAAAGAAAGGTACTTTGCCCTCTCTCAAATATGTATTCCATTTATTCTTCTGGTAAATACCGCGTCCACCTTGTTTATTTTGCTGATGGAAGGGGCGGTGGTAGCCTCGGTTACTAGTTTACCAGATTACCAGGTTAGTTACTAGGTTATGATGTGCGTTCCTGACCTGGGGTGAAGATCCCTGAGATGGGAGGTTGATATTTTGCTCACCGGGTATCTCAAGCCACAGTCTTAACCCTAACAGTCCCAGTTGCACCGATGATCAGAGGAACTATATTTGGTTTACATTGCTACGTGGGTCGGCATCCAATTTGTAGATCGATTTCTATAACATTTCCTGATTTTCTCTAGCTCCTTATTTTACCGTTGTCATCACTTGGGATAATAGTCACATCAATAACACAACATGTACAAATCTATGGGATTCTGTATGATAATATCTGACTCGCTGCAGCTGATTGCTCTGTCTGTATGTACTTGTGAATCCCAGATGTTTTTATATAGTCTATGAAGTGCTTTGAGACATCGAGAAGACATGATGAGGTGCTATGTCAAATGCAAGGATTATTATTATTATTATTATTATTATTATGTTGTTTCTTGATGTCATTTTTGCTGGTCGATGTTCGTACCAGTTAGTGTTTACATCAATATCAAAGTGTCTAATTATTATTATTATTATTATTATTAATGCGCTTCTGCCTCCGGTTCCATATTATTGTGGAGTCCTGGAGCATATTAGTTAGTGCACTTGCTTTGCAAGCGAGAGGACCTGGGTTCCATTACATACTGTGTAACTGGCTTTGAAAGTCTAGCTCCCGGCTCGCTGAATAATTAATGACAGCACTGAGAGAAGTCTTCACACTGTGTTTGTTAGTAAGATATTCAGACCTGACTCGATTTAAACCACCGCAAGTTTACCCAACCCTAAAGTTGCTGTTGCTAGGATATCCCCAGCGGGGCGAATTCTAATAATAATAACAATAATCCTTGCATTTGATATAGCGCCTTAGCAAGTCGTCGAGACGTCTCAAAGCGCTTCACAGACTATGCTATACAGTGAATTCACTATGAGTGAAACGCGGCAGCCAATTGCACACAGCAGTGTCCCACAAACAGTTGTGGATTAAGTGACCAAATGATTATTATTTTTCTTTGGAAGGGATTATTTACCCCTGGAAAGCGATCCACCAATCGACTAATAACCGGGTTCCTACTTACTACGGGGTAAACAGAAGCGCGCGGAGTAAAGAAACTTACCTAAGGTTTCGCCCTGGGCCTCTGGATAGACCTTCGAGTGGGACAGAGGGATTGGGACAGACTTACAAGGTTTGTAAAAGATGAATTAGCGTTAGTCTCTTCCTCTTTGTTGTTTCAGACAACAGTAAAGGCACGCTGACCCTTCGCAACCTGACGGAGGGAAACTCTGGCACCTATCGCTGTGTGGCGTCCAACATCCTGGGGCAAGACTTGTGTCATGTGGTGCTGACAGTCACGTGTAAGAGGAGATTTCTTCCGCGGAGTTTATCCAGATGTTCTCGCTGCAGAACCGGTGGGGGAGTGGGGAGGGAGGTGACGTATGATATGACCGGCAACAATTATTACTCTGTCACTTTGTCCAGAATGGGGCCAAGGCATAGAAATATCTGTTTGCTCGCGCAAACCCATCTTCTAAACTATGCAGTTTGTGTGTTCAGGGCTTTGAGTACACAGTTTGGGCTGATGTATTGTCGGAAGCGCTGGCTTTAGGATGAGGTGTTCAGGTGGATGTTAAAGATCCCGCGGCACTATTGGAAAACAGAAAGGGAGTTTCTCCCTCTCTCCTGGTGTCCTGGCCAACAATCCTCATCCAAATAAAGTTCGATGAACTCACTTCACGGCTGTTTGTGAGACACTGCTGTGTCCAAATTGGCTGCTGCATTCACTTACAAGATACACTCCCAATACAAATTTCTCCCTCTCTATACACATATATACATATATGTACATATATGAAATGCCTTTCACATTGGGAGGATGTCCCAAGGCACTGCACAGCAAATCCACTGTAAATATTCAAGGCTTTATACCAAAGGTAAGGATTATTCAGATTTACGTGACTCAAAAACCTGCGGAATAGTTGCTCAGTGCAGATACGTCCGCGGAGATTTGACTTCTATTTTTTAAAAGGTCTTCTTTTTCCCCCCCAACTTTGCTGGCCGACAGATAACAATGAGCTGGGGGTGATTGTGGGAGCAGTGTTTGGCACCAGCATTGCATTAATTCTCATTGGGGCCGTCGCTTACTGCCTACTTCACCGGAGGGCAGACCATCCCAAGCCTGTGTTCGTTGGAAATGAATTGAGGTATTTGAATTATTTATGTATGTATTCATTTATTTATTTATTTATTTATTTATTTGTGGCCCTCGGGCCCCCTCCGTTCCACCATCCGTGGCCGCGCTCTTCAGCCATTACGCCCCGAAATTCTGGAACACTCTCCGTCTATCTCTCCGCCTCGCCCGTTCCTTCCCCACCGTCAGGTCTCACCTGCCGGTTGACAAACACCTTCCGGTCGCTCATCCTAAGCTTTTGTACTTCACAGAGAGGATGCCTTGGCCCCGGGGAAAGACCCCAACTCTCAACTACTAGAATCTTCCATCGCCCTGAGGCCTGGGGTTAGCCACAGCACGGACTCAAAGTACAACATTGTGGTGTGAAAGATTTCCTGTTGTTTGGGATGGGTGGGGTGTGAGTCGGGGGTGGGGTGGGGTGTGAGTCGGGGGTGGGGTGGGGTGTGAGTCGGGGGTCGGGTGGGGTTTGAGTCGGGGGTCGGGTGGGGTTTGAGTCGGGGGTCGTCGGATGGTGAAGGGGAGGTCAAAATATCCTTGTTTTTAGGAGTAATATTCCTTGGATTTCCTACAGTGATAATGATAATAATCCTCGCATTGGGTTCAGCGCCTTTTCGTGTCGTTCAGACGCCTCAGAGCGCTTCGCGGAATCCGCCTGTTAAGTGTGTAGTGACTGTGCATTTTGTGGGCAGATTGGGGCAGCTGATTGCACACAGCAGCGGGAGGGACATTATCAGCCCCGGAAAGCGATCTGCCGGGTAAAGCGGAGTGAGGAAACTTGCCCAACCATTAATGTCAGAGCTGTCTCAAAGCGCTTCACGGGGCAAAGGACCGCGAAGTGTAGTGACTGTCGCATTTTGTCGTGACAGTCAGTTTCCGCACACCTGCAGCCAACCCGCCAGGAAGAAAACCACCGGCTATATGCCAGGGAGGAATGTCGGCCAGGACGCCGGGAGAGGGAAAAACTCCCTTCTCTTTCCCAAAAGCCTTGCGGGATCCTTCGGGTTCCGCCCGAACGGGGCCTCGGAGCGGGGCGGAGTGGGGGTTGGGGGGGCACGGGCGAGGTTTTAACGTCTCCTCCCACGGACGGCGTCTCCGGCAGATGCCGGGATGGGTGGGGGGGGGGGCGGGGGGGGGTGGGGGGGGCCGGGGTCGCGGATTGCGCGGCGAGTTTAACCCTTTCCAGGTTGTGCGCTGTCGATAAACGGGGGAACGGCAGAAATAAAATGGAGCTCGTGTTTGACTCAGCGACTGTTTCACATCAAAGCGCTTTGCGGGGGATACACTGTCGAGTGCAGTGACTGTGTACATCACTCCCTCTTTCACACTCTATCTCTCTCTCTCTCTCGCTCCCCTTTTCCTTTCTCTCTCGTCTGGCGCACTCTCTTCTTCTTTGTCTCTATCTCACTCACTCAGTCACCCGCACGCGCCCGCGCACACAGACAGAGGGAGTGAGGGTGACACACACACACACACACACAGACGGAGGGAGTGAGGGTGACACACACACACACACACACACACACTGTGTCTGTGGGGGTAGTGCTGGTGGGACATTCTCTGTTGTGTGAGGGTTGTTGCTCGGCAACCGGACAACACTCACCTGTCAACAAAACTCAAATGAACTGAAACTAACAGAGAAACAGAGAGGGACACACACAGGGAGTGAGGGTGAGAGCCACACACACACACACAGGGAGTGAGGGTGAGAGCCACACACACACACACAGGGAGTGAGGGTGAGAGCCACACACACACACAGGGAGTGAGAGTGAGAGCCACACACACACACACACAGGGAGTGAGGGTGAGAGCCACACACACACACACACACACACAGGGAGTGAGAGTGAGAGCCACACACACACACACAGGGAGTGAGGGTGAGAGCCACACACACACACACACACACACAGGGAGTGAGAGTGAGAGCCACACACACACACACAAAGGGAGTGAGGGTGAGAGCCACACACACACACACACAGGGAGTGAGGGTGAGAGCCACACACACACACACAGGGAGTGAGGGTGAGAGCCACACACACACAGGGAGTGAGGGTGAGAGCCACACACACACACAGGGAGTGAGGGTGAGAGCCACACACACACACACACACACACACAGGGAGTGAGGGTGAGAGCCACACACACACACAGGGAGTGAGGGTGAGAGCCACACACACACACACACAGGGAGTGAGGGTGAGAGCCACACACACACACACAGGGAGTGAGGGTGAGAGCCACACACACACACACACACAGGGAGTGAGGGTGAGAGCCACACACACACACACACAGGGAGTGAGGGTGAGAGCCACACACACACACACACACAGGGAGTGAGGGTGAGAGCCACACACACACACACACACACAGGGAGTGAGGGTGAGAGCCACACACACATACACAAAGGGAGTGAGGGTGAGAGCCACACACACACACACACAGGGAGTGAGGGTGAGAGCCACACACACACACACACAGGGAGTGAGGGTGAGAGCCACACACACAGGGAGTGAGGGTGAGAGCCACACACACACACACACAGGGAGTGAGGGTGAGAGCCACACACAGGGAGTGAGGGTGAGAGCCATACACAGGGAGTGAGGGTGAGAGACACACACCCACACACAGAGAGAGAGAGGGGGAGTGAGGGTGAGAGACACACACCCACACACAGAGAGAGAGAGGGAGTGAGGGTGAGAGACACACACCCACACACACACACACAGAGGGGGAGTGAGGGTGAGAGACACACACCCACACACACACAGAGAGAGGGGGAGTGAGGGTGAGAGACACACACCTACACACACAGAGGGAGAGAGGGAGTGAGGGTGAGAGACACACACCCACACACACACACAGAGAGAGGGAGTGAGGGTGAGAGACACACACCTACACACACAGAGGGAGAGAGGGAGTGAGGGTGAGAGACACACACCCACACACAGAGGTAGAGAGAGCCTGAGAGTCAGCGTTGCCCCCATGTCGGTGCCCTTCTCCAACACTCCGCTGCGGATCCCGCGAGGGTTTGGCAGTCTCCTGGAGGGGCTGAGCCGGGAGGTGTTGCGGGAACAGCCGCAGGACATCATCGGCTTCGCTTCCAGATACTTCCAGCGCTTACTGAGGATCCGAGAAGGTATCAGGGACCGCCCCCCCCCCCCCCAGTGCACCCCCCACCTGCCCCAGCACAACCGCCCTCACCCCCCACCTCCCCCAGCACAACCGCCCTCACCCCCACCTCCCCCAGCACAACCGCCCTCACCCCCCACCCACCCCAGCACAACCGCCCTCACCCCCACCTCCCCCAGCACAACCCCCTCACCCCCCCCACCCCACACAACCCCCTCACCCCACCCCAGCACAACTCACCCCCCACCCCCCAGCACAACCGCCCTCACCCCCCACCCACCCCAGCACAACCGCCCTCACCCCCCACCTCCCCCAGCACAACCGCCCTCACCCCCCACCCACCCCAGCACAACCCCCTCACCCCCACCACCCCAGCACAACCGCCCTCACCCCCACCCCCAGCACAACCACCCTCACCCCCCACCCCCCAGCACAACCCCCTCACCCCCACCCACCCCAGCACAACCCCCTCACCCCCCACCCCCAGCACAACCACCCTCACCCCCACCCCAGCACAACCGCCCTCACCCCCACCCACCCCAGCACAACCACCCTCACCCCCCACCTCCCCAGCACAACCGCCCTCACCCCCCACCCCCAGCACAACCACCCTCACCCCCACCCCCCAGCACAACCCTCACCCCCACCCCAGCACAACCACCCTCACCCCCCACCCCCAGCACAACCACCCTCACCCCCCACCCCCCAGCACAACCGCCCTCACCCCCCACCCACCCCAGCACAACCGCCCTCACCCCCACCCCAGCACAACCGCCCCCCCCCCACCTCCCCAGCACAACCGCCCTCACCCCCACCCCCAGCACAACCGCCCTCACCCCCCCCACCCCAGCACAACCACCCTCACCCCCCACCCCCAGCACAACCACCCTCACCCCCCACCCACCCCAGCACAACCGCCCTCACCCCCCACCCACCCCAGCACAACTGCCCTCACCCCCCAGCACAACCGCCCTCACCCCCCACCCCCAGCACAACCGCCCTCACCCCCCACCCCCAGCACAACCGCCCTCACCCCCCCCCCCCCCCCCCAGCCCACCGCAGCTCAGCCCCATCCACCTCCATCTCTCTCCCTGAGACAGTCAGTGCTACAGATGGGGAGAGAGACAGAGACAGACACAGAGAGACAGAGATACCACACAGAGAGAGACAGACGGAGCGAGGGGCAGCCCTCAAACTCCTTTCCCTTTAATTATATTTAAAAACATATACCGCTGATATATATATATGTTTATATGTTTGGAAACGTTTATATATATGTTTGGAAACGTTTATATATATGTTTGGAAACGTTTGTGAATGTTGTAACCACTTTGACTTCGGTTCCCAGGTTCATGTCTCCTATTCAGTTAAATAAGTAATAATATTTATTATTATTGTTGTTACTGTTATTGTTACTTATTGTTATTGTTAAGATAATACACGAACAGCAAAATAAATAATAATTATAATAAAACAAATAAACAGTAACATAAATAATAATATTTTACTGCTTGTTGTTATTAATAATAATCCTTACATTAGCTTTAAACGTAACGGCTTAGCACATGGTCGAGATGTCTCGATGCGCCTCAAGGGATGCACAGTACTGTAAAGCGTAGTGACTGTGTATTTTGTGAACGCAACTCGGCAGCCGGTTTGCGAACAGCAATGTCCCACAAACAGCAACGGTGTGAGTGACCAATTCTATCCGGGGGAGGATTGTCGGCCGGGGACACTGGGAGAGAAAGAGAGAAACTCTCTTCTCTTTTCAAACAGCGCCGCGGAATCTTTCACGTCCGCCTGAACAGGCACCCCACCAGCGCTGCATTGATCGAAGGAGCCGGAGAGCACATCCGTCCTCTAACCCACTCACGATAACACCGTTCGGACGTTAAAGAAACAGAATGGTGATTCCGTGCAATGGTTTGCGGAACTCGGCATCTTGCGGGTTATGAATTGGGGGGGTGGGGAGGTTGGGCGGAGCTAGGGGTGAGGGGGGTGAGAGGTGGGGGGGCGGGTGGGGTGGCTTGGCTTGTGCTGGTGGGGGTGGCTGGTGGGGCGCTGGAGGACATGAATGTTTGAGGAGAGGAAAGCCGGTCCGATGATGCGATCCAGCCATTGTGACCCTGGAGGAGTGAGATAAGCACTCGCACATTTCCACCCTCCCCTCCCCTCCCCTACCCGCCCCTCCCCACACACACAAAACTGCTCAGTGAAGGACCAGCAAAGAGAAACCCCCAAAAACGCTGGCAAGGCAAGAGTTCAAAGGTGTGTGTGGGACTCGGAGAAATTGGGAGAGATTAAGCCAGAAACTGAGGTACTTTATGGTTGAACTGCCTGTAGGATACGATGGCGAGTTGGTAGATTTGGAGTCTGGTGCGGTCACTCACCCCTTTACCCCTTCAGTATTGCTACCTCTGTGACCTACAAACTCCTTACTGACCTGCTGCGCCCTCCGCTCAGCGGACTCCGGCCTGCTTCACACCCCCCCCCTCAACCTTTGCCCGCCTAACCATTTCTGCCCCCTCCTGATCCCGAATCCCCAGCCCGGGGGCAATTCCCTGACCGCCCAGCTCCTCGGGCCGTTCCTCCCGACGTGAAAGGTGCCGTGTACCTGTGTCGCCTGTGGTTGTCTGGTAACTTTTCTTTATGCGGCCCACGTGTTGTTTTTCAAACGGCTGATGGAAATGCCGAGTCCTGCAAATCTGTGCGGATAAGTAGTCGTAAAGCTTTAAATTGGCCTTTTGGCGAGAGACAGAACTGGTACCAGTCTGTACGCTGCGTTCTGGACCAGCATTCGGGAGAATAAGGAACCCTAATTTAAACATTGGGATATTGAAACAAATGGCATTTCTTAATTGTCGTCAGTTAAACTGTTGGCCACCAGCTGGCAATAAACCCCTCAACAAAGTAATTTCTTCCTTATCAGGATCCAGTTGTCTCCCATCTTGTTTCTTTTCGTCAGCCTCTCTGCCCCCACCCTTTGGAACTCCATCCCACAGTCCCTTCCTCTCGCCTACTCCACCGCCTCCTTCAAGGCCATTCTCAAGAACTTCCTCCCCGACCGCGACTTCGGTCACCCTACCCTTCCCCGCCCTCCACCCCACCTGATCCCAACCCCCAGCCTGGGTCCAAATCCCCGACTGTCCAGTGCCTTGGGACGTCCTCCCGACCCGCGTATATGTAATTTGTTGTTGCTATCGCTGTCGAGCTCTAAAAATATACACGTTGTTAATATAATGTTTTAATAAAGTCTGTTATAATGGCTACTGTTTCACAGTTTGCTTCTCTTTCTCCCAACTCAAGAAACCGGTGTGGACCCTGCAGATTGGGCAGCGAGGTTAGAGGATAGGTTCTACAATAACCATATATTTAAGGTAAGGTCACCTCAGGAACTGGGACACACTTGAGAGACACTTTACACAACTCAAACGATGAAGGTCTATTTGAATAAACATTGACGTTGTCGGCTGAGCTTATGCAATTGACTGAACTTGGGGGCTGTTGTCGTTTTGTCAAGCGCTCCGAGACACTGCCCCGTGTAAAAGGCGCTATGTAAATACAAGTTTTTCTGTTGATTATCTGAACAATATCCCCTCGTGTATCTCACAGGAGAAAGTTGTCCATGTTGTAAAGGAGGAACAAGTGCTCCCTGAGACAATCAGTACAGCCTACCTGGAAAAAGATGATATGGTGAGTGACCCTGCGATCAAAGGAGACCCCAATCCCTTTGTGGAGTCCTGTTGGTAGGGGTTAGAGCACTCGCCTCACAAGCGAGGGATCCTGGGTTCGATTCCCGGGCAGGGCGAAACCTGAGGCGAGTTTCCTTACTCCACCCACACGCCTCTGGTTACCAGCAGTGAGTAGGAACCCGGTTAGCGGATCGCTTTCTGGGGGACGCTGCTGTGCGCAGTTGGCTGCCACGTTTCGCCCACAAAGTATACAGTCAATTCACTTCACAGTATATTCTGTGAAGCGCTTTGAGACGTCTCAAAGACGTGATAAGGCACTGTATCAGATACAAGGCTTATTATTATTATTATTAAAGAGGACAAGGAACTTGTGGCCAACTGCATTATTCACATTGCCTCACTTATGCTCACACAGGCTAAAGTGGATACATCTGGCAGCCTAGAGAAGAAGGTCGTTGCCAAGTGTATAAAGAAGCCAGTGCAGGGCACCACCTCCACCACAGAGCCCACTGCCCCCCAGCCTGAGGTACTGTCCACGGCCCCAAACCCCATCAGCTTGGCTCAGTTGGTAACACGCACCAAATCATTCGCTGTTTCCCGAGAGACGTTGCTTCCTGCAAATTGGCTGCCGCTACGCACAGTCACTCCACCTTGCAATGAATTCCAGCGAAGCGCTTTGTTGTCACGGTTGCCGCTCGTTGCTATTAATCCTTCTGTTCCTCGCAGCCGCTGAAGCCTATCGGCAGCCCGGAGCCCATCCACGTTGAAGATCCGAAGAGCTTTTCAGTTATCTCGCCCATCTCTCTGCCAGTTACCCCGCCATTCCAGGAAGGGCCAGAAAAAGAGGAAGCCAAAGAAATAACTGAGATGGTAAATGACTCAGCCGAGGCTTGGGAACGCTCTGTCTCTCTGGGAAGGCTACCCTGCGTGAGGGGCTCTGTGTGAAACACAAGTTGTTGCTGTTGTTATTGGGGAAGTGGGGGAGGGAGGGAGGAGGTGACCGTGAGCACGGCTGAAGAGGAAGGTCTTCAATCGGGATCTAAAAGAAGGGATGGAGGGGGCGAGGCGGAGGGATCGGGGGAGAGAGTAACAGAGTTTTGGGGCCAGCGGCTGAAAGCGTGGCTTCTGATGGTGGAGGGGAGGTCAAGCCGGAAGCCAAAGGCAGCGGGTAGTGGGGTGGGGAGAAAGCAGGTCAGAGCGGTGGGGGAGGTGCCAGGGCGGGGTGGAAGGATTTGTAGACCTGGGGTTCTGTAAGCCAGCAACTTAGACCTGGGTGTTTTTTGTGTGTGCTCTTCCCCCCCCCCCCCCACCCCCTCCCTCCCCCAGGCAAAGGAAGACACCACACACCAAACCGAGAATCAAGCTGCCGTGAGGATCCAAGCCGTGTACAGGGGCTACATGACAAGAAAGAAACTGGTGAAAGGGAATGCAACCGAGTGAGTGAGCGAGTGAGCGAGCGAGTGAGTGAGTGAGTGAGCGAGCGAGTGAGTGAGTGAGTGAGTGAGCAAGTGAGTGCGTGCTCTGGTTTGATGGACTCAGGGTGATATCAGAGAGAGTTGAGAGGCTACCTCTGTTTGTACCCCTCCTCCTCCCACCCCCCCCCCCCCACCCCCACCCCTGTGCCTCCTCCATTGTGATACCGCAGTTTATAATTGTTTCAGTAAAACCCGTGGTGCTACAGTAAAAAAAAAATGAATTGTACTGCTAACTCTGTTTTGTTTCACATGTAAGTTGCCGAACGGAACGTTTTATGGCCTAGAATTGCCGCACATGCGCACACACACACACGCACACGCACACAAACGAGCGCCCGCACACGGACGCACACACACACGCGCGCGCGCGCGCGCACACACACACACAAAACAAAAAGCTGCCTTTATCCGTGTCGTTTCCTGGACGCGTCCAGAAAAAAAAAACTTGTGAAAAGGTAACTGGTTAAACATGATGGTGGCGGTTTGAAACGGCGAGGTCAACGCTAAAGCCCTGTGTACAATCAGTTTAAACGCCGATAATAGTTCAGTGCAATCCCTTCGATGAGGTTTTATCTTGCAGCACATGATAGGATTCATTGGCTCAAATCTAGCGCTGTGGGTTTTGATGGGTTAGCACAGAAGGAACCTTTTTAGGAAACGGCGAATGTTTGCAACTGTTTTGGTTCACCCATCGGAATTGGTTGGTTTTTAAAAAAAAAAGCAGAAGTCGCTGGGGACGCTCAGGAGGTCAGGCAGCATCTACGGAGAGAGGAAAATGAGCTAAAGTTTCAGGTCGATGGCCTTTCGTCGGAGCTGGTTGATTCTCTGTCTCTCAGACCCTGTGTGAAAGGGTGGGAACCTCAGCTGATCAGTGTGATTAGCCCTCCTTCCTGCTCTAACCTCGATCTCCTCAGAGACCAAACAGAAATATTTAACATACGGTAGGAAGGGAAGAAAAACTATGCCTGTGATCTCACAGGAAGTATTTCTCAGAGGGTTATTCATGACTGGATGCAATGCCCAGTTTCTCCTTGGACGGACGCATCCTGATTACCTAATTCTGGGGAGTATTAATAACCGCAGGTTGGCAAGAGCCAAGGCTTGGGGCGGAGTCCAGGGTGTGCGTTGGGGGAACTGCTGGAGTCTAACCAGCTAAGCCCCCATAGGTTGCCACTGAGGGTGCTGTCTGGCAAGCTTTCCCGCTGCTTGTCCAGCTAGGACCACCCTACCCATTCGGCCGATCAACTCTGCGGTGTTTCCCCACGAAAGGCACCCTACGTAAATGCGAACTGTAACTTCCAAATTGTGCCCTTCACCTAATGTGGTTTTCTTTCATCTGAGCCACCTAAACTTCCGTGATATTTATTATATTATTATCACTGATTTCTGCCTGGTGTGAAATGCGAGGAAGGTACCGTTTGAGCTTTTTAGGGCTTCAGTCAAGCAAGAGTCCCGTGGAGCATTCTCATCTTACTCAGGACAGTCGCTAGGAGAGGAATTGGCCTCAGATGTTCTCCTCGCTCAGACTTCAGTTAACAGAGAGAGAGACTATCAGGATTAGGTAAGCCAGTGAGCGCTGCAAGCAGCAAGTCGTGGAAAGCAATACAAAAAAGGTTTAGAAATTAATCTATTGAGTCTCGTAGTGTAGTGGTTAGTGCGCTCGCCTCGCAAGCGAGAAGACCCCGGGTTTCATTTCGGGGCGGGGTGAAACCTTAGGCTAGTTCTTTTTTAAAAAAAATTGATAGGGAACGTTGCTTTCACCCCGGCCAAATTAACGATGGTCTGATCTGCAAATCCCATGTTGTGGGTCTTCCTCATATCTTGAGACAATGGTACAATTTGATGGAGATGGTCTAACGATGGCACAATTTCTTTACACAGAGCTGATGGTGACTTGTTGCCACAGGAGTATGCAGACGGGGGCGCTAGCGAGTACAGCTCGGAAGAAGAGTTGACTTTCGCGGACGAAGACAACTTTGGCGTGACGGGAACCTTTGGGGTCGAGGGGGAAGAAGAGCCCAGTGGCAGAATGGAGGATGAGCAGAGAGGAGAGGTAGTGGCCGACCGGGCAAGCGTTGGCATTTGTGCCAGCCAGCTCATGAACCCGCTGGAGAAAAGTTACACGATTGAGGGAAGAGCGAGCTTTGAGGATGTTAATGCGGACATTTGTGGCACTGAGCTACGTCCTGACACGAGAGAGAACAGTATGTTTGAGGAGGAGATAAAAAGCCGAACAGACAATCGGGATATCTGTGCGGCTGAGTTGGGTTTCGAAGGTTTGACCGAGGTGACATTTGGTGACACGGCGAATGTTGACGGCTGTGGCACGGAATTGGGAGGTCCTCTCGTTGGGGAAGAGATTGATCTTGGAACGCCTGAGAATGCTGATGTGTTGGGCCAGGGGGACCATTTTGACCAAGCTCCCTCCGAAGGTGGGGACCTCAGTGAAATTGGGCACCAAGTTTCCGACGATGGAGATGAGAGTCAAGAGGGCGACATCGAAGACGAGAGAGGAGAAGAGTTAGAGCCATCGGAATTGGCTGAAACCAAGGAGGAAGTATTTCATTCGTGGACGAAACGCAGGCCGTGGAGAAAGCAGAGAGTGTGGTAAGAGTGGACCGTCTTATTTTCTCAAAGTTGCGATTTTATTTTTGTAAGTTACATTTCACTGCAAAAAGACAGACATTTAATCATATTTTTGGCACTGTTATCTGACAACTCCACTCCACCTGCCTTTTCCTATCCATCAGGCATGAAGGATTCTTCCTGAATCATTAATAATACGGATTGGAAAGCCTACAGTGTTGACGGCGAAGACCTCGTCGTTTTAAAATTAAGGGAATTTATGGAAAATGGTTAAATTCAGCCCTAGTTTGTAGAACGGACATGATGGGCCGAATGACCTTATTCTGTGCTATAAATTTCCGTTGTTCTAACTGGTTGTTTGGGGGTGAGGAAACAGGTTGAATGGCAGGCGACTGATGCTCCGAGACCCTGCCCTGCAAAAGGGGGGGCTACATAAAAGTCGTCGTTGTTGTTGTTGTACAATTCACACCCCCTCTCCTTCCCACGCAAATATAGGAAGACGTTTTAAGTAACATCTGCCCAGCTGAATGTCACTGGTTTCTCCTGTTGGAGGGATAGAGAGGTTAATCTCTGCTCACCTCTTCTCATCAATCAGAGGCTTTTCTCTGGTATTTATTCTCGGCTCTCTTTGAACCCCAGTCGATGCATCAATGCCCATTTTTTTGGAGGCAGTTGTCTAAAATTGCGCACAGCCATTCTAAATACAGCCCCAACGGTGAGCTCTATACAAGGTTAAAATAACCTGTTTTGCCCTATAATCGAATGCCTTTGAGAAACGTTCTATTTCTGTTTCTCTACAGATAGTGTCCTGGTTGTCACTCAACAACAATCTTGCCCTGTTGTCAGCCCGGAAGGCCATTTTGTAGAGTCCAGTGGTGGAGTGGTTAGAGCACTCGCCTCGCGAGCGAGAGGATCCAGGTTCGATTCCCGGGCAGGACGAAACCTTAGACAAGTTTCCTTACCCCCGCGCACGCCTCTGTTTACCCAGCAGTAAGTGGGAACCCGGTTGTTAGTCAATCGATTGGTGGATCACTTTCCGGGGGTAACAATAATCCCTCACTCAATCCATAACTGTTCGTGGGACGCTGCCGTGCACGATTGGCTGTCGCGTTTCTCCCACAAAATACGCAGTCACTACACTTTACGGTATAGCCTGTGAAGGGCTTTGCTTGTCGGTGCTTTTTGGTTTGGGGCTGGACAGACCCTATCACCCCCAATCCTCGCTCGGCAACACCTGCCCCCTGCCCCCTCCCCCCCAACCCCACCCAGCGGATCGAGTTCGAAAATCCTTGTCCGCACGTTTAAATCCCTCCACAATCTTGCCCACCCCGCCACCCTACATCTGTGACCTCCTTTACCCTTACCAAAACCGCTCGGCTGACATTGGCCCACTGGGCGCGATGAGGATAAGGGATTGGAGTCTGACTCGCCTGTGCTCTATAGGGTCAGTGAATCAGTGCAGCATAAATTGGCCATAACATTAACTGTGGGGCTTTCTCAGTCAGGTCATTTATCACTGAGCTCGTGCTATGTGTGTGTATCTGCCTCGTCACCCTGAGCAGGAACTTCGCTGCCTGCCCCACTTTCTCCGAAGTTATCTGGGACACGGAGAACGATATGAGGCTACGAGACAGAGGACATGTATCACAGGGTGTGCGTGTATGCGAGTGTGTGTGTGTGGTGGTGGAAATTAGAGCGTTGGAAATGACTGCTTGAAATACTCCTTAATAATCCTTGCATTTAATATAGCGTCTTATCATGTCGTCATATATCATATATATTATATATGTACCTGTATTTTATATTATACACTATATGATCCACGACCGGTTGAGGGACGCTGCTGTGCGCCATTGGCTCCCCCACAAAATATGCAATCACTACACTCTACGACGACAGGGTGATAAGGTGCTATATCAAACGCAAGGATTATTATTATCATTAATATTATTATCTTTAACATCCAACTGAAGAGTCACACTGAGCCGGGCTGACACCTTTCTACAACATCAATGAATAGATAGTAGTGTCTGCTTGCTGCACTACCAAGGCAGGGGATCAGCCCTCAGTATGAAAACCTCCCTTAGGAGTTCTCTCGAGGAAAGCTCCAGAAGAAATGACATGAATGAATTAGGTAGATTTCTTATAGGAAATAATATCTGGGGCTACAGGATATACTTTGGGACACGACATGTGCAAGCGACTGCCAGGATGGTGGAAGGCGAACTGGATGGATCTTTCGTCCAGCAAGTTCTTATGTCCTTACGAGAGTAACAGTGTTCTCCAGCGCAGTGACAGACCCACTCTGAGCCCCCCCCGTGTTTCCAGGAGTTGCCAGCCGGGCGAAACGCTTTGGGGACGTCCTCCCGAGCGGGGGCAGATGCTGATGGCATGCCGTGAGTGAAGCTGGGAGCTCGGCTCAGCGTGCGGAGCAGCGAGCAGTGAGGTGGCTGAGTGTTCAGGTCACCTACAGAAAGTGGGTCAATGAGGACTCCAAATTAGAATCCTCCCCTTTTGCTGGAGTTTTGACCTTGTTTTTAGCCGAGGCATCTCTTGCGAGTTTGCTCGCTCCCTCGCTCCTACCCCCCAGCCGAGCGGAGACACAGATGTTCCCAGAGAAGCACAGAACTGCACAGCAACGGCTTATCGTAGGAACGGGTCCCAACACCGAGCCAGTTTGCTCGAGAAAGAAATTGCCGTGTCCCCATCGTGGGTAGGAATATTTACTCACGAGGTTATTCTCTGAGTTTTCCCAGGGTGGCTTGAGATTGAAGGGAATCTGGTCCGAGTTATAATGATGGGCGAGTGTGAGGAGGCACTGGGACTATTGTCAATATTGCACTGAGCCCCCAGTCAATACCTCAGGGTTACCATGTCAGCTCTGTACATTCAAAGGGATATTAAAGAAGTTTTTTTTATATATAAACCGTAGGGTTTCAATGGATCATAATTGGCAGTATTCCTGAACACATTCCATGCCTTATACAGGGAGTATTTTTAAAAAAATAATACATTTTTAAAATAATTTTGGTCATTCAATCCACAACAATTTGTGGGGGCCGCTGCTGTGGGTAATGGGCTGCCACATTTCGCCCACAAAATGCACAGCCAATCTGCTGTACGGTCTAGTCTGTGAGGGGCTTTGAGACGTCTCGACGACGTGATAAGGCCCCGTATAAAATGCAAGGATAGTATTGTCACACGTTGTTATTTCTGCGGTCCTAAAATTTCCTCCTGAGTAAGGACGAACTTCGAACCCGACCCGAAATAACTTGAAGGTCAAAATAACTTGGTTTTGAGCTTGAAAATTGTCCCAGAACAAGTCTGGGACCTGCGTGATGTACATACCTTCTCCCAGCGGGCCCTCGTTTAACATTTAATTAACTGGAGTCGATTGTTACACGGGAACATTCAGGCTGTGCAAAAAGTTAATTCTCTCTCGTCCTTAACTACCTCCTCAACGGAGAAGTAATTAAGGTGCTCCCTTGCTCTGTGGATGAGCGTCTGTCTTGCCACTCATCTGATGGAACTTCAGTCTGAACTGCGAGGTAAACAGAGGCGCGTGTGTGCGCGAGTGCGTGTGTGGAGCAAGGGAACTTGAGTAAGGAAAGTGGGAGTAATCGAACCCGGGTCCTCTCACTTGCGAGGCGAGCGGTCTAACCACTGAGCTGCAGCAATTCCCACGTAAACTCAAGTTGTTGCTGCTGCAACACCACTAAATGTCCAACGAGGTTTTCCAAAACTGTTCCAGTCGGAGGCTAATGTTGTACAGAATAATATTGTAAAATGACTCATCCCCGCCTGAAGTTTCATACATACATTTATGAATGATATATTAAATTCTAATGAGCCGCTACATTTCTCTGGCTCCTCAGTACGCAGTGAGTAATCACTGGCAGTTAAACAGCTTCGCAGGAACTCTGAACGTCACGGTCCCATGTGGAACCAACAGCCTTTTGAAGAGATAATGAGTTTCAAGGGCAGCAAATGCGTCTTCCAAGCTCTCTGTTTCTCTCTCCTCCGGCCTCTCAACTGTTTTGAGCCATCGCCTGGCGAATTTCAGTGGAATCCGGTCCATTTACAAAATTTTAGGTATTTCTTCACAGCACCCCCCCCACACCCCCGCCCCCCGCCCCCAGGCAATGTAAAATAGCCCTCCGAGGGCCATTTTCCAGGCGACTAATTGGAATTCAATGCTTAACCCGGAGGAGAATAAACAATAAGCAATGGGAACTGGTAGCCAGGAGGTGGTGGTTGAGGCGAGAATACTGGACTCATTTAAGGAACAGATTGATCCTGTGATGGGAGGAGAGGATGGGTGTTCTGCAAGGGTGAGATGAGATGGGCTAGAGGGCAAAAAAGTCATTGCTCACTCAAGCCAAGACTGTTTGTGGGACACTGCTGTGCACAATTGGCTGCTGCGTTTTGCCCATAAAATACACAGTCACTACACTTTACAATATATTCTGTGAAGCGCTTTGAGATGTCTCAATGATGTGGTAAGGCGCTGTATCAAATGCCAGTGTTATTATTATTCAGTTTTGACGATGCGATAAGATGCGATAGCAAATGCAAGGATTATTATTATCACAAACGAATGCAGTCACAGGCACGGAACGGGATGAATTGCTGAGTCGGAAGACCTCTCAAACCTCACGGGAATGTGAAACAGTAATTCAGGCAGCGAAGCTGACAATTCCCTCTCATTTTAACTTCATTTTTCCGTGTTTGCCGTATCTGCGGTGAGAGCACAAGCCTTAAAAATAGAGGCGGTTCAATTAAAATGTAATCGAGGCCCGAAAAGGTGAGATTCCAACGCAACGAAACAATGCATAATGCATGAGGCTGCGGTGTAGTCTTTCCCCAGCAGCTGATTGCAAATTAGGTACTAAAACTCGGGTCATTAATTGTGGGAATTCAGACTCCACATTGCGCCCACGCATTTCCTCCGTGAACTCCGTCGCCCACCCCTGTCCCCATCCGAGATTTCGTCTGATATGCCACGTCCCGAGGAGCTCAGT